GAGCAAATGAAGGTCCAGGTGGCATATTGCCCCATTCTGTTGAGTTATGAGATGAGGTATGAGAGGCAGTCGCTGAAAGGTGTTGTCTGACAGATGGGGAACGGTACGAAACCAGGGTTGGGAAGGCCACCAGGGAGTGACGAGAATTCCCCGAGCCTCGTTGAGGGTGATCTTGGCGAGACTTCTCGTAATGAGCGGTATCGGAGGGAATGCATAAAAGAATGTGTTCGTCCATGGAATCATCACAGCGTCCCCCTCGAACCAGGACCGATACCCGCTCGGGAGCAATAAGCTTTGCAGACTGTATTCGCGTGAGTGGCAATTAGGTCTATGTCTGGAGGGCCCCAAGTCTGAAAAAGGTGATGATAGACCTGACAATCCAACTCCCATTCGTGGGTCGTCAACATCTGTCTGCTGAGGGCGTCTGCTCCTCGTTGTTGGTACTGGCTAGATGAACGGAGAGGAGAGTGATTTCCCTCGAAATGCACCAGTCCCACAGTCTCATCGCTAGATGAGCCAGGGAGGCAGACTTCGTTCCACCCTGTTTGTTGATATAAAACACAGTCACAATGTTGTTGGAGGCCACTTGATTAACTTGGCCCCAAAGCGTATTCTTGAATGATCGAAGGGCTTTCAAGATCGCCAGCAGCTCTAGGTAGTTGATGTGTCTGGCAGCCTCGTGGTTGTCCCAAGTGCCCTGAGTGCGAAGACCGGCACACAGAGTTCCCCAACCCGTGAGGGAGGCATCGGAGAACAGAGTCAGTGCTGGATGAGGTGGGCAGAACAGAATCCCGACAGACAGATTGCTCTGTATATTCCACCATGACAGGGTCTGGAGAACGGAGACTGGGAGATGAAGAGGCCAGTGTGGTGAATCTCACTGTGGTTGGAAAAGGTCACTGAACCAAAGTTGGAGGGGCCTCATCCATAGTCTGGAGTATGGGACCATGGAGACCGTGGAAGCCATGTGTCCGAGGAGCTTCTGTATCGACAGTGCTCAAACAGTTCTGTCCATGTGGATTCGACGAATGGGTGCACGAAGATTCTCTTGTCATTCTTGAGGAAGGAAGGCTCTCGCAGTCGTGGAATTGAGACAGGCTTCGATGAAATCGATGATCTGTGAAGGAACAAGGCACGATTTTTTGTAATTAATACATAGTCCCAAATCATCTAAGAGGGTGCATGTCATCCAAATCAATGATCGAAGGCCTCTAGACGAGGAGACGATCAACCAGTTGTCAAGGTAATTCCCTAAAGCTGGAGGTGTGCACACAACAGGGCCATGCATTTGGTGAAGACCCATGGAGCAGTAGCCAGTCCGAATGGTAAAATGTTCTATTCAAACATGTTGGAACCGACCATAAACTGAAGCTGCTGCCTGTGAGATGGGTGGATGCTAATATGGAAATAAGCATTCTTTAAGTCCAAGGAAGCAAACCAATCCTCTCTCCTGAGCAACAGTAGGATATTTTGAAGGGCGGTCATCCAAAATTTCTTAAGTTTTGATAAACCTGTTGATGCCACATAAGTCCAATATCAGGTGAAGACCACCATCACGTTTTGGAACAGTAAAATACCTCAAGTAGAAACCATGTAACCCCTCGGAGCATGAGAGTTGTTGAATCGCTCCCTTACGAAGAAGTTGTTGAACTTAGTCTTTGAGAACCAATGACAGAGACGTATATTGGATCAGTCCCAATGGGGGTACAGTATCAAACTCGATTTTATATCCATGCTCCATGATGGATAGAACCATCAGATGTGATGGACTCCCAAATGGGGAGTCGACTTTGCAGTTGATCCCCAAAAGGAAGAGGGGAGGGTGGGTTCAGTAGAGGAGAAAATGTTCGCTCAGCTCATCAACGCTGACGCTTATCAGAATCCGGACGGCGACGGCTCTGCTGATAGCACTGCGCTGGTTGTTTTCGGCGCTGCTGATGAGGCTGAAACTGCTGCCAGCCAGAGAACTGCATGTATGGTTGCTATCGGTAGGAGGGATGGGACCAAGACCACTTACGTCTGGTTTGGTTGGGTACTTCCATATGCTGAGCTGTCACACAGGATTCATGGATGGTCTTGAGTTTGTGGCCCATCCTGGCATTGAACAGCCCCGAACTGTTGAAGGGCATGTTCTCTATGCAGCACTTGGTCTCATCCGGAAAATTGCAGTTCTGGAGCCAGGCATGGCGACAGAGAGCTACAGCACTGATGAGGGCCCTTGAGTCGCAATCAACATGATGTCTTGCTGTAGAGAGCTGTTGAATCGCCACCTGCGGCGCCCCCTTGGTGAAGATGTGAGCCAGGTCCCTCTGTTGCTCCGGGAGTGCCGCTGTAATATTCTCCAGTTTTTGCATGAGAAAATACTGGAAGCAAGCCAGTGTTGCCTCATAATTGGAGATCCAGGCCTGAGACCTGTGGCAGCGTAAATACGGCGGGCCATCATGTCAATCTTTCGCCCTTCCTTTTCATGAGGAGTGGTGTGCTCTCTCGACTCATGACCCTGGGACGACTCCACAACAATCGAGTTCAGCCTTGGGTGATGCAGGAGAAATGGAATGTCCTGTTCTTGAACTCAATACATAGATTTGTATCACCACGAAGTTGGCTGTGGCTGGTTGGAAAAGTTTCATGGTTCCATCACTGCCTGACGGAGAGCTGTGATGAGTGGCAGAATGGAGGCGGCAGATTGTTCTCTCTTCACGATGTTATCGAACTTATCGGTACTGGGATTGAAGCAGTGCTGGGCTTCGATCTCCAGTGACCTAGCCACTCTCGCCATCAGTTCCCCAAACATCAAATATGACTCCTCGGGTGTGCTGGGACCCTATGTAGTGAGCACCACGTCTGGTGAGGTGGATGCTACATCCAAATCATCCAACCCGGAATCATAATGGAGCGGAGGACTGGAGGAGTCAGCCGGCGAGGAAAGGCGCCTGGTCTGAACTGCTGCAGACATTGATGGAGCATCCCTTGCAATGGGCAGATCCATGAGGCGCTTGCACCCATTCTCCGGAGGGACAGAAAAACGCACGCTGCTGGTACCACACTTGCTGAGGCAGGGCCCTCGGGGAAGCCTCAGGCGAAGGCTGCGGTGTAGGCGAGCGTGCCATTGGAGAAGTCATCTGTGGAGAGTCCTGGACCTCTCTGTCGGAAATCGATCCCAGTATGGCTGTCTCCTGATGTTCTGGCGAGGACAAGATGGAAAGAGTGACACGTTGCGGGGACCCTGGCAGGGTCACCTGCATTGCCAGTTGAAGAGAGCCAGTCCAGTTGGTGTTGGTACCAAAGCAGCCGTCGGGGCTAACAGGGCAGACAATCCCAAATCACGGAGACGGGGCTGATCAGCCTTCTTGGTCTTGTGAGCCGTCTTGTCTGCCCTGTCCTTCTTAGGCTTCTTATGGCCCAAGGACTTGTCAGATCCGCTGTGCTTCCTCTTCTCCTTTTGTTTGTGAGGAGACTTAGAGGAGCGTTTGCCCTCTGGCAGAGTAGCACCATCAGCCGATGGGTGGGGCGAAGGGGTAGCCGAACAGGAGGGCTGCACAGTGGATTGGGCCGCCAGCTGATCAGATGCGACCAAGGCCTGGTTCCAGAGAAGCCTGCGCAGGCAGTTCTCCTGGTTTTTTCACGCCTGCTTGGTGAAGGCCTGGCAATGGCTGCACTTATCCGTCCAGTGATCTTCTCTGAGGCAAAGTAGGCACAGGTTGTGCGAATCAGTGGGGGACATCTTGGCCGACTTAGAACACGTGTGGAAAGCCACACGCTGAGCCATCGAGATTGAAAAGGAGAAGATAGCGAAGATGAGAAAAATAAGAAGAGAATAAACTTTTTTGGGGGGTTGAAGAGGGTAAAAAGGGGGGATGTGAAGAAAAACTTCTAACAGGGAGGGATCAATAACTTGGAAATCTTAACAAGAAAGGTAAGAGAACAGAGAGCAACGGTTCAAAGGGGATCAAGATACACAATATATCTACAAACTGAGAGATGAAAGGCTCGAGGCACAGCGAACGACAGTAGCAGGAGGACTGGAAAAATGGCGGGCACTCCGCCCTCTTATGCTATGAGGGGGAGGGGCACAGAGTTCCTGCCAAAACCATTAAGCTTTTAAATCTTCCTGGCTACAAGCACTGCGCAGGTGCAGCACCCATATATGTGATGCAGAGGCCACGACGAAGAACAGATCGTTGTGACAGACATACCATGGTGAATGAACACAATGAGGCACAATGATAGGTCACCATGACTACTTTTGGACCACATGACAGAGGTTGCTTGTCATCTCATATGAACCAAGTCACAGTTTAAGATTTGGCAATATAACCCACCTGAGCCCTCAAGAGCACTCTTACTCAAGAAACTGACCCAAAGTATCTCTGTGTGGAGTGTTCACTTACAAAGGAGGGCTTCCATGAATAAAAGCTCCCTTCAAGCAAGGTTCTTCTTATGAATAAGACTTTTGCCAGCAGGCTTGAACCACAGCTGAGCCCTGGGTGGGGATTTAGGAGCTCAGGCTACAAAAGCCCACAGTTCCAGTCTAACCTCTACTGGAACACCGCTGTTCTACCAGCCCTAGTGCTTTTTATTTTATTACTTTGTGGTTGATCCTCTGTTTGTCTAATCCCTGGACTCTGGGGTTTGCTCAGGTTTTGGCAGTGTTTGTATTGGACTGTTTTATGTGTGCTTTGACTATGGCTTGGCCTCAGGTCCTTCTCTTGGAACTCTTCTCCCTGACTGTTAACCTTAACCCTGTACTCTTCATTCTTGTTTAGTGACGTGCTTTGGACTTGCTCCTCAGTTTGCCCTCATGTTAAGCCTTTTTCTGCCTAATTGGAGAAAAACACATGGAGAACAAGTTGCCAACCTGTGTTCTACATTAGTTACTTAGGCAAGCTGAGATTTTTCTTGTGAATTCGAGGAACTGAGCTGGCAAGGCTGAATAAGGCAAGACTTTAATATTGAGGTTGTCAGTCTTGCATGAGTTTAAGAAATACTGATTCAAGCAATATATTGTCAACCTTTTATTGAAAAGACAAAGTACAGTAACAAGAATAAACAGAACTACATTTTCATATTATAAACTTTCCTGTATATAGTCATGACCAGGGTTATTTCTGTGTACTGAAGAGTCTGACTGTATTTTTCCTTAGAATTCAAACAAAAGCCAGCTATCTTGCCAAGAAGTCTGTTAAACTTGTTTATGCAGCCTGAGATCCCACAATATTTACTTCAGAGTAAGCTGTGTAAAAAGTACCACTGAGATCAGTGAGTCTTTGAGGTAAATGTGTTTTATTTTGTTGGTCCTTTTCGGGTCCACACTGAGTATTCTGATGTATGTTCTAGGCTGAAGGCCAGACTTCCCTGCTCACCCATAATGCAGCATCTTGTCATCCATCATCTTGGCAAGTTTTTGCTCACTTAGTCCGAAATCCACTTACCTGGGAGTAAGTCCCATTGAACTCAATGAGACTTCAGTAACCATGCATATGGTTCCATTGCTCATATTTTGGGTGTGGCAAAATATGCTACTCTACAAGTAGAGGGAAGCATAATACTAAGGAAAAAGCTACTTACACTTAAGTTTCCTTAGTGTCATGGTTCTTATGAAGCACTTCTGTAGAAAAGGAGAGAACAGGAAAGTTAGAAATAAGGATAGAGGTAAAACCTAGGTAAAAGAAAGCAACAGCTGTTTTGTTTTGCGAATTTCTCCCGTTCCTTGGCAACACAATGCTTTCTCCAGTGCCTCAACCTAAGGATATGTAAAAGGCTTCAGGAAGAAAGAGGATGGTCACAAATCACCACTTTCCCTGTATTGCCAGAAGGAATCTTCCACTGGATTAGAACCCTTTCAGACAGGATGGAAGGAGGGATAGAAGAATGGATCAGAAGTGATGGAAGCAACCTTTTCAACTACAACTACAAAAGGTATGGATCCAACCTATTCTTAATCTGAGTAGACTTGGGGGCAGAGCCTGCTGGATCTTTTAAAGCTCTATAATGGAGCTTAACCTTCCATAACATGATCAGTTTTTGTTGCAAAACATACTTGTAGACTATCACAGAGAAAGTAGAGGAATTTTAACAGTTTTTCTCTGAAGTAAATACATGGGCCTTTCATATACATAAAGGGCAGCAGCCTTTCCCTCCATCCTTGTTTCTCAGTACAAACAAGTGATACAGATTTGATAAGAGATTCATAAATGATTCCCAAGGGTGAAGTGAACTGCACCTCTACTCATCAGTCAGTGCAGGCTCCAGGTTTGGTGTATCCTTGGACTAAGAGTTTTCAACGTCATTGTGCTTTCTCACTGTATCATGGCCTATTCGCTTGCCCTGTTCAGAAGAAATTTCCATGCATTGAATAAAGGTGAGTTAGTCCACAAAAGCCTCCTCCCTAATACTCATACCAGTATCCTTTGCTCTCTAACATTAGCATGTACAATGCAATGGTCTGTAGGGAAAAAGTTTTGAATATATGGCTGTATGTATGAACATATCTATACATTATAAATATGCTCACAGTTTTAAGTTCCAAATTGCATTGATGCCTTCACACATATAGCTGTATATACAAGGGCTCCCTTCCCATAGCTGTATACATATTCATATACAGACATCAGAGGGTAGCAAAAGCTGGCATGCACAACTTTATTTTATTTATTTAGGGAACTTCTATGCCACCCCATTCGCCGAAGCCTCAGGGCGGCTCACAACCATAAATAAATAGAATCCTATAAACAATATAAATTAAGTTGCCCTGGCCAAAGAATAAAACAATTAAATAATATTAACAATTAAAATAACGTTTGAATAAAAAGATCTTTGCCTGGCGCCGAAAAACAAATAACGACGGCACCAGGTGGACCTCTCTGGGGAGCGCATTCCATAGATTGGGTGCCACCGCAGATAAAGCCCTCCTCTGAATACTTACCCTCCTAATTTCCTTCACGGAGGGTTCCCAGAGAAGGGCCTCTCCCACTGATCTCAAGGGGCGGGCGGGCATATATGGACGTAAACACTCCTTCAGGTAACCAGGACCCAAGCCGTTTAGGGCTTTATAGGTCATCACCAACACCCTGAATTGGGCCCGGACTTCAATGGGAAGCCAGTGAAGCTGACGGAGGACTGCAGTCATATAAACATAACGCCCAGTCCCCGTCAGCAAGCTGGCAGCTCTAGTTTGCACCAATTGAAGTATCCGGACCATCTTCAAGGGCAGCCCCACGTTATAGGGCATCTTCAAGGGCAGCTCCCGGTTGTAGAGCGCGTTACAGAAGTCAAGTCGGGAAGTCAACAATGCGTGTGTCACTGTCGCCAGGCAGTCGTTCTCCAGGAAGGGACGCAGCTGATGGAACAGCCAAAACTGAACGAAAGCGCTCCTCACCACCGCTGTCACCTGAGCTTCCAGTGAAAGCTCTGGGTGGAGGAGCACTCCCAAGCTGCGAACCTTGTCCCTAAGAGGGAGTGCAACCCCATTCAGGACTAGGTTCAATTCACCTTCCCCGAAGCCCGATCCGCCAACCAACAGGACCTCTGTCTTGTCTGGATTGAGCTTCAGTTTATTGGCCCTCATCCAGCCCATTACCTCGGCCAGGCACCGGTTCAGCACAGCCACTGCCTCACCTGGATTGGTGGAGAACGAGAGGGAGAGCTGAGTATCATCAGCATACTGGTGATTCCGCAGCCCACACCTCCTGATGACCTCTCCCAGCGGTTTCATGTAGACGTTAAACAGCAAAGGGGACAAAGTGGATCCCTGCGGTACTCCATGGCATAGCTGCCATGGTGCAGAGCCATAGTCCTCCAGCACCACCTTCTGGAATCGGCCATTGAGATAGGAGTGGAACCACTGCAAAGCAGTGCCTCCGACCCCCAATCCCGCTAGCCTATCCAGGATACCATGGTCGATGGTATCAAAAACCGCTGAGAGGTCCAGAAGAATCAACAGGGGCGCACTCCCCCTGTCCTTCTCCCTGCACAGGTCATCGTACAGGGCGACCAAGGCAGATTCAGTACCGTACCCGCGTCTGAAGCCAGACTGAAATGGGTCCAGATAATCAGTTTCATCCAAGAGTTCTTGGAGTTGTCCCACCACCACCCGCTCCAACACCTTGCCCAGAAATGGGATGTTGGCCACTGGTCTATAATTAGTGGCCATCTCTGGATCCAGTGACGCTTTCTTCAGGACCGGTTGGACTACCGCCTCCTTTAGAGGGGCAGGTACCCGACCCTCCCTCAGAGAAGCATTAATCACTTCCAAGATCCAGGTCCCAATCCCGTGCTTGGCGTTGTTTATTAACCAAGATGGGCAAGGGTCCAATAGGCAAGTGGTGGGACATACTTGACCAAGCACCTTGTCCACATCATCAGGCCGCAATAACTGAAATTCATCCATTAATTTTGGACCAGACGGCGACATTGGTATCTCCCCAGAAGCCTCTGAATCACTAGTAGAGTCTAGCTCATGACGAAACTGAGCGATTTTCTCCTTGAAATGCTTGGCAAAGTTGTCACAGCGGGCCTTCGAGGGTGGAACCAGATCTTTCTTAGGGCCAGGATGGACCAGCCCTTGTACCACCTGAAAAAGCTCCGCCGGATGGCATTTTGAGGAGGCAATGGAAATGGAGAAGAATTTCTTTTTCGCCACCCTCACCACCACAGCATAGGCCTGATAATCAGCTCTTAAGTGTGTTCGGTCAGATTTATTGCGGACTGACCTGGCATTAAGCAACAGCACCATCAGACCTGGCTTTAGAGATATAGTTAGTTGGCACTGCCAAACTCAAGTACTAATTCAATGTGTAGACAGTTCTTCTGAATAGGACTATAATGTGGGTTCAATTCCCACCACCACCACACAACAGGACAAATCAAAGGGGCTGCTCTTCCTTGTTCCTGTTACTGCTTTCCCATGCAGGGCCAAAGGCGTGCAGTAAGAAAAAGGCAAAGGAAGTTTGACTCTCCTAATTTTTCTGAATTTACAAGCAAGTCTGGATACCACTGATCATGGAGTCTTTCTGGAACATATTTCTGAGATGGGTGTAAGACATGCTGGTCCTACCTGAAAGATTAATTGCACAAGGGAAGCTGGGAAAACCACTTCCTTGTACCAGTCTTCCCAACCTGGTGACCTCCAGGTATCCCAGGATGACCCAGCCAACACACCTGCAGAACACCAGATTGATGAAGTTGTAGTCTACATACTTGGATGGCATCAGGTAAGATTGTTCTTTACTGTGGTTTAAAGTTGTTTCCAAAGTATTTAACACTGACATACAAATAAATAGAAATAGATACATGAGATAATTATTATTAAACAATAAGACAGATAGAGGTGCTTGGACAGGTTTGTGCAACTATGTACCTAAAGGATCCTTGTGAATCTTTATAAAAGCCAGCAGGGAAGGAACTGCTGGTTGGGCCAGTGAGGTGATTAATGCTTCTTTATGAGGAGTGGTTCCTGGCCACCTGGTGGTGAGACTGCTCCTGAAGAAACCCTCCCTGGACCCAGAAGAACTCAACAATTTCAGGCTGGTTGCAAACATCCCATTCCTGGGCAAGATGGTGGCCAACCAGCTCCAAGCTGGGACTTATTATCTGGCTCCATTTCAGTAAGGGTTCAGGCTTGGTTTTATAAGATGATCAATGCTGGGAGAAGGGAGAGTGTGACCCTCTTGGCTTTCCTGGACCTGTCAGCAGCTTTTGATACCATCAACCATGGTATCCTTCTGGAGTTTAGTGTGAAAAGCACTAAACTGCAGATTATGCAAAATGCAGCAGCCAGACCAATAGCAGGGATCAGCAGTCTGAGTATTTCTTTGGCTGCTTATATGGTTTTAAACCCAATTCCAGGTAGTGGTTTTAATCTATAAATCCCTATACAGACTGGGACCACAATACCTAATGGAAAGCTTCTCCTGACTGCAACCTAGCCAAATACTACAATCAATCTCTGGGGCCTGCCTCCAACCTCCAAGTGAGGCTGAATTGGTGGCAACAAAGAGAAGGACCTTTTCAGTGGTGGCCTGCCCGGACACCAATCTTACTGTCTTAGAGGATAGCCCAAAATACTATCCTCTACTATAGGGCACTCAATTAGTTTACTAGGACTTGTTATTTGCTAAACCGGTCCTAAGATTTTTCTTTAAGTTACTGTAATTTTTGTATCTGTTTAAAATATTATATGGTAAGCTTTTTAAATCAACTTTAAATATGGTGTATTTTATACTGTATTTTTAATGTGATGTTGTGAACTGCCAAAACAGCATCCATCAGCTATTGGGCAGAATAGAAATTAAATAATAAATAATGAAATCACTACGAAAGATCACCTAGTGATTTGAGGTGAAGGATCTATATTTAAATTCTCCACTCAAAATAATCTTGGATAGCAGGACCAATAAACGCTGCCTGCTGTTTCCAGTAAATGCTAAGCTAAAAGGACCAGTTGTTTTACATGCTGCACAGCTCATATTTCTCATTTTTAGTGAACTAAAATGAAATGGTAGATGCTCTGAAAAGATGTTTGGGGTCAGTTACAAAATGGATGAGAGCCAATAAACTGATGCTCAATTCAGATGATGCCGATACTATTAGTAGCTGGTTCATCTTAGCAGAGAGACATTGTTGATGGATGGGGCTATATTTTTCCATAGGTATCAAGTTCATACTTTGGAGATGTGGTTACATCTGGCCCTTTTAGATGCCCAGATGGAATATGCGGCATGAAACGCCTTCAATCCCAAGGCTTCTGACCAAGTCAAGATAATGTGCCAGCTTCAGCTACTCCTATACACAGGCTAGACTGTTGCAATGCACTGTACATGAGCTGCCCCTGAAAGTTACTGTTGCATTGTGTTCTGAACAGATCAGGGGCTCAAAAGAGGGAAGCAAGGTAGGCTGGGTACTGCAGTGCCCAGGAGAGCTCCTACTAAGCAATTTGTTCTGGCAAGATCCCAGAGAACCCAGACTGAAGACCTTTATGTTTTAGTTGAGAGGCTCCCTTCCAGGGACCCCTTCTCACAAAAAGGGAATCTTAATTACTCTTTTGCCTTTCTAAGAGCTCAAGCCAGGTGCACTGCTAGCACTGGCACATCAGCTCCAAGGAGTATGGAGTTCTTGGAGAAGGGTGTGCTGGCTTTGTGCTGGAGTTAGGCTCTGGGGTCTCTGGCACTTCGGGTTCAAGGGTTCAAGAGTATTTGAGACCTTGGTGTCAGGCCCAGATCCACCTTTTCTGGCAGCACTGGTCCTTGAGCCTCTGAATCCATGTCTGGGTCACTGCTGGACTGTGGGATCATGACAACTACACAGAAACATAAACTGCTAAAGCATGCCTCTGAATGCCAGATACAGTGGTACCTCAGCTCACGAACGCCTTTGTTCATGACCAAATCGGGTCACGAACAAAAATTTCATGAAAATTTTGATATGGGTCACAAACGCCGCATTGGGTGGAGAACAAGATCGCAGCCATCTCCCCACACCCGCAAGTGGGGAGATGGCCACAATCACAGTTGTGTTCGTGCAGCAAAGACGTGCGTGATCACAGGCACACTGCTGCAGGAAAGACGGGTGCAATCTCACCTCCCCCAAACAGCACAATAGTGGCCATCTTCCCCCGAGTGGGGAGATGGCCAAGATTGCATCAGTCTCTCCCTCCCCAGCGCACCCCGTTCATGCCCATCTCTCCCTCACCCAGCGTGCCCCATTCGCGCATGTCTCTCCCTCCCCAGCACGCCCCATTCATGCCCGTCTCTCCCTCCCCCAGTGTGCTCCGTTTGCACCCGTCTTCCCCCCCACCCCACGCTGGTATGACGGGCGCGATTTTGGTCATGCTGGGGGGGACGGGGAGATGGCTGCGCTTGTACTTGGGGTGGGGAGGGGGAGATGGCCGCGATTTTTGTTGTTGTCACTTTGCTTCACATTTTTCTGATTTAAAAAATGGTTACAGAAAGGATTAACCTTATTTATATTAAACCTTATGGGGAAATTTAACTTAGCTCACACCCAATTTGGGTCACGACCAGAGTCCTGGAACAGATTAAGTTCGTGAGCCAAGGTACTAGGAAACAAAGTGGAAGTCCTGTTTGTGGGCTTCCCAGGAACATCTAGTTAGCCAACCACTGTCTGAAACCTGATGATGCTGTTACTTTTGTAACTTTTTACAGCTTGTGAACCAAGTATCTGAAAGCTACTGAACCAAGTACCTGATCCTACAGACATTTATTTCTTGATTAAGTCAAAAGTACTCCTGCTATCAGAAAGGGAAAAAATGGCAACTGGGAAGCAGGCCTTTTCTGTGGAATCTCCCCATTTATATACTCCTCAGAGTAGTCCACCTGGTGCTACTCTGTTAAACTTTAGGCACCAGATTGACATTATTTTTCTATGTCCAAATTTTATAGCTCTTCTAATTAACACGTTTTAAAGCTGAGGAGTACTTCTACACAGATTGTTTTATTGTGCTCTCTGGTTTTCTCTATTTTTATTGTGACCATTATTTGTCTAATATGTGGCTATTTGACTCACTTTTGAACAACAAATCATGTTAATTCATATTTATTGTTAGTTGCCTCAGATTTGTTTTGTTTATAAAGTTACTTAACTAAGCATGGAACTAAATCAAAAATGTTCTCCTACTTGTGCAAGTCATCGGGTAACCTCTTGCACAAACAGAGCACAAGAATTGTTACATAACTTACCTGTGTGAGCTTTTGTGCAAAGGTTGTCAAAACAGCACTAATAACTATTTTCCTTCCATTCATAGGTCTTTGGATCCAATGCAATGTATGTATAAACAGTATTACCTAAAGCAGAAATGGGAATCAAGCAATTAACTTTTTACTGTTCTACCAAACACTGAACATTTCTTCCTTTGATTTTCTCTTCTTTTGTTGTGGTTCTGCTCTTGCTTGCAAAATCTGAGGTTGTGATTCAATAGCTGGCTACTGGATTCATAAATATAAGTAATCGTTAAACATATAGGTATGATTATTTCATGCAGAACAATAACACATTGGTTTCTGATCTGTATGACAACAGGTGACAAAGAAGGATTCACAATTACTCAACTTCCTTACATTTCCCTGTATGAACACTCATAGTTAATGGTCTAAAATATTACAGGCTAGATTCAGATTAACTTAATCAGTCCTACTGAAGTTAATTGGAGTTATTTGTGACTGACATGTCCCATCAGTTCCAGTGCAGCTAAACATGACTAGCCTAGTTTCAATCTAAATCAATGTTTTCTTCTAGGATTTTTAAGTTGACAAAGTAACACCAGTTATTTATAACACTCACAGGCTAGCCCGGTCCTTTTCAAACATAATACATCATGCTCCAAAGACACTTAGCAGACAGAGTTAGGTCTTAAATGTTTATTCCCCCTCATTTGAAACTGGCTTCAGCTATCAAAGGGCTTTCAGGGTTGGCTTACTGCTCTCCAATGGAACACAATCAGTATGAACATTATAGCTGACCAGATGCTAAATCGCCTTTTTATGTTTAAGCTCTACTGACAGATAAATGGATACAGTTTCCTTTTCAGGCCTTGACCTTAAAACATATCACAAAACAAATCCAATGAAAACAAAAATAATTTACTGCATGTTTTTAAGATCTAGATGTCAAGCTTTATTGCAAACATTAGCTCCATCACTCTCCTTTTTTCATTTAGTCTGGTTTTTTTTCCTGTTCTAAATTACACATAAGGTAAGAGCAACAAGAGACTGAAAAGGGAATTGTATAGGAATAGGGTTGGTTGGTATAGGCACTTATGAGGGCTTTGCTATAACTGATGCCAAACTAAAATAGTTAGGAAGAGGCCACAAATCACCAATGAATACAAAATTCTGTTTTACCACATCCCAAATGGAATTCTAAATATAACCCTTTAGGTTCAGTGCTCCGCTATGCACTTCACATGCAAAAAATCATATATGTTTGCCTCTAACCAACCTTAGCTTTAACAGTGTTTACATTTGTAAGGCTATTAACTTGGAAGAATAATTATTTCATAAATACAAATCACAATACTGCCTATCTTTGTAATACCTATTTCAACCAAAATCTCACAATTTTCTTAGTATGTGTGCGTTTTTTAGACCTACCTCTAAGGAGACTCCATTCTCCTGTATATGAAATACGTACAAACCATTTTGAAACACAGGAATGTTCTTAACTGGTTTAACCATGCGACTACTTTGGCAAAACACAAGGCCCACCATTCTCCTCAGCTGATTAGCCAGTGCACCCAGATCCTAGCAAGTGATATAAGCAACTTAGCTGAGTATTTAAATCAAGATATAAATTTTAAAAACCTGTGAATAGCATTGCAGATTTTTGTTTCCCTCCAGGAAAATAAAAGCACAGAACACGAGAGTCCGTCAGCAACCAGAATCATGACATTTCCACCAATACCAGAGACACCCCAAGCAATCTGCTCCTTCTGAAAGCGTCCTTTGCCACTTAATCAATGACAACATATCCCCAGACACGTATAACTTGGGGCAGCCCCCCAGCTGCACGTCGATCACTGAACGCGGCGTTTTTGCCAGAGAAACGAAAGGCACCCTCCGCTATGTCCCTGCGATCGGCCATTACAGGAAGCGGCTGCAAAGAGTTTTACGACATCTCCCAGCATCCTTTCCGCCTACAATTCCCATCCTGCACGCGTCCAAGCCCAGGGTTAACTCTTTCGTGACTCACGGGCAACTTTGTGCCACAGAACTCCAATCTATTTAATTTACTTTCTCCTCTCAGTTCATCCAAAACAGACAGCACATGGTGATAGGTTATAAGCACTTGCCATGCGAGATTCCCTCTCTCACACACACACTCAGAACTTCAAAAGGAATCCCCAACAGTTTGTAAAATAATACTGTTTTTAAAATGTTTAGAACAATAATCTGAACTGCAGTTCTCAGATGTTTACTATTAAATACATGCTCAGTTTGTAAGTCTTCTTAGTTTTCCTGCACATTTCTAGAAATACATTTTTGTATGTCATTAATATGTTTGTTTTTTCATACAAAAGAAAGCAAGTGAGATTTACTTTTCTATCTCCACATATATTTAAAATTAAAAATCTGGTTAACACACAATTCTCCTTAAAATACAAACTCTACCGAGAATATATTTCCCTCCACACTGAGCAGATTTTAAAAACTCAACCATACCACTCTCATTTTCTCCGCCCCCCCCCAGCCCCATAGCATGAGCATTTATCATAGCATCAATATATTATGCTAGCACTTTTCAAGTCCTGCAGCCTTTGAAAAGCCAACAAATTATATCCATAAACAGCACAACACACACAAACAAGCCACAACTTTTAACACTATCTGGTTTGAATGTGAGGGGGGAAAGTTCATGAAATAGATCCTTACAGTAAGCCTTCCAAGATGTAAACTAACACTTACTATATACAGAGAGAAAGGGAGAGAGAGAGATTCTAATTGTCTTTTTATGTATTTGAAATAATCAAATCATTGTCTGATAATTGTCATTCAATTTATTCTAATTTCTACTACCATACTGATTGCTACATAGCTTGTAGTCTAAAAAGTAACTGCCTCACAGGCAATACAGAAATCTGCCTGGTGCTTCATCGTCCAAAATGAATTCAAGCCTCTCAAAAATTGAAAAGGTAGATATAACACAGCTGCTAATAATTTAACAATAACCCTCCTTTATTATTTATAATAAAGCAAACAACAAAAGCAAAGTAGACAAAGAAAAAATGGGCCCTTTTCTTTGAAATAAAGCGACCTACCATGAACTCCCATACATTTTTGTAAAGTTTAATTTTCAGTATAATCCTTTGACTCTTAAAGCGATTTTCAAGTTGATTCCTTGCTCATAAAAACACAACAGGAGAATCCTCCCTGCCTGACACTGCTCTCCAGATGCATGCTGTACATTTCCAAAGCCAATGAAGCCAAGTAATTCCAAATAATACCCATGTCGTTATTTACAATTTATTTCTCAGCAGGTTATATCTTTTGTTTTTTTTATCCCAAAATTTCCATGGAAAAATGTGACCATTCAACACCCAGTGTTACAGCACTGTCCTACAATTCATGGGAAAAAAAGCAAATCCTTTAACAGCTTGAATCATAGTTTTTTGATTTACTAACAAGCCAGAATTTTACAATTTAATACACAGATTAAAGACACAAAATAGAGCATATGCCACAAAAAGGTGCAAAAAAACCCCTGCAGTATAGCTGGCCAACCTGCCTCATAATCTGTACGCAGACATAAAATTCCTATTTGGTTGTATTGTATTCCCTGTTGTAATGCAAAGGATGTACTTGTGTATATTGTACTATTAAAATATCAAAGTTTTAAAAACTTTCATATTCCAAGGTCATGATTTCAATTAATTTTTAGCCTTACTACTATAATCTTTCCCAATCTGTGAAGAATTTGAAAAAAACATAAGTAATTTAAGCAGGTCTTAGCCCAAATACAGAGCACTAATACAATTTGTAAAAGTTCTGGAAAGAAGGAAACTGAGACTTCTGTCATTGCTTGGCAGGCACGAACAAATTCAATGGAGGAAAAGCATTTCTCATGAACTTTAAAATATTGATGGTTTTTATTGGCAATAGGTTAAAATCTAAAGTTGACCAATATTTGACATTATCCAAACATAGCATTTCACAACAGTACCATTTATTTAGCTTCAGGCAAGAAGTCTTTGTCTTTTTACAAAGCCAAAAGAAAAAATCTAAACCCTTAATTACTTTTTTTGTAAGGGTTTTTAAAACACAAGTAGCTACAAGAAAAAATTACACTGCTTTTAGAAGTACATAGTTACCTTGGCAAAGGTTAGAATGCTTTGATTTTGCTGTTAAAATATTTCTCAATACCATGGAAAGGAGTGGACTTCTTGCTGTTTTCAATTTTTATTTTTTCTTAAGACAATAACATGACCAACACATTTAAGTAACCAGAATTTAATTCTTTGTTTTTTCAAAACTGGAGTCACATGAACAAGCATCACATGAACAACAGACATATGCCAGCATGTCCAATACTTTTAATATGTTCTATCCAATAATTTTTGGTCAGCACACAAGCCTCAAGTACAGAATAAGCCGATAATACTATATCTGAACACCATCATTCTCTCGCCGATCCCAATCAACCCTTTCTGGGTATTCAGTTATGCACCTTCTTTAATTACAAATTTGATATTAAAATCAAACCAGCTAGTCCAAATCACTACTATCTCACCGTCACTTTTTAAAAACTAACCTGTTTTAAAAACCTAATCTGGGGCTCAGTCCAATCTGAGCATTCAACAAACATATCCTATAGGAATGAAGGTGTATGGCAGAAGAGGCCTTGAAAGCCACTCATTCATTTCAATGGGGATTATAAAGAAAATGTTTGGTGGACAGCACTATTCAAACAAATTTTTAAAAAATCTTTTCCCCATCACCATGTGTTAAGGACTACTGTTAAGACTTTAATTTTTACATAATTAACAGAAAATTTTCTGCCTGAAATTAGTTGTTGCATTCTTTTATGGCTCTGCTTACATGTATGCAGTATAAAAGCGATGAGCTGTTTTTACATAATATTACACAATTCCTATAATTATGGTGAGATCACTCTATGCAACTATGAGTATTTAACTATTTTGTAATCCATTCATAATTTGACAAATGTTAGGACACCTTTAACTCAGTTATTCCTTGCTTACTCAAAAATAGCTACAAGGGGTTAGATAGCTTATTATACTGAATGCCAAGTAGTGAATATTATGAAACTATCATACAACTATTGTCAATGCTTTAAGATGTTTGGATTATAATCTAGTGCTTCACCTGTAGAAAGGTGCTTGCATCTTTCATCAGTCATTACAGTTCCTGAAAACAGGCACTTCCAACATTTCCTCCAAAACTAGAGGAATACAAAAATAATTTTACCAGACAAACTGAAAGAAACATGACCATGATTAAAACACAGTCAGGACTCCAGGACTTCAAAGGTCTGGTCTAATAAGGCTACAAACAAAAAATAATTTTCAGTAACTACCACAAGGTTATTAGAAAGAAGACTGGAAGGATTTTTTGTTTAAAGTTTGATACCAATTTTAAATAAACATACCTGTGCAAGATCATAATTAGGGCCATAAATATTCAACGAAAATGTAGGACTACTTATTCACCACCACCACCTGTGTAGTGCTTTTGTTTAAACTACATATGCAACAATTTTTTTTCTTTTTTCAAAAAAGAGAGAGAAATCCTTCATCTTAGTGCATCTTGAAATACATGGTAGACAGAAAGGTTTGTTTAAGTTGAAAAAAGTCTTAAGTAATGCTTTCTTTTTAGGGAAGAGAAAAATGGAAGAAACTATTTCTGACTGCCTCTTTTCCATTCCCTATTATAAATCTTCAATCATTTCTTTATCATGACAGTTTCACTCTTCGTATTTTTCCTTGGTTTATAAAAGTATATATGTGTTACAATGATACTACATTAATACAGGCACATAGAATGTATACTCCGTACCTGCAGAAAGCTATAAAAAAACTGTACCCTTCTTTTCACTACAAGAAATCTTACAATTGAAAACATTGCGTTTCCACTATTTTCATGCTTTTTCCTTTTGCATTTAATGTCTCAAGCACACACACAATTTAAACACGGACACACAATTCATAATATCCTGAAAATAATAGTTTTTAAAGGGCCCTTTTGATATCATCCTTTCTAAGAAATTAGTTTTCTTTGTTTCTAAAGGACAAACCTAGGAGCTAAAGCAGTTATTTTAAATCTTTTAATTTTTTTTAAATTTCCTAATCTAATGTTGGCAGAATGTCATTTCCCATCTACCTTTCAACAGAGTTTCAGCTATTTTGCTTGGTTGTGACACACATGCTCCACCCTGATTTCAAAGGTAAGGCTAATGGAAAATGAAGAAAATATTGCTAGATAAGAAAATATTGATTCACAAGCATTTCTTAGCCTTCTGTTACCTCTACTTTTGCCACAAATATTTTAAACTAGTTGTTGGTCTTTTTAAAATACAGCTTTTCCCTGACTTCATTCTAATTTAGCCTTAAATTAGTTTGTATCTTTACCTGATCTAATGAAGGGGAAAAAAAAACCTCAGTGGGCACTAAGTAATATTCTCAGGTTTTGTAGAGCATTTGCTTGGATATGAAAAAAAAATGCCATCCATCCCTCTGCCCTATTTATTTCATATGTATTCCTTAGTTTGAAAAGCAACAAACTAAAGTGAGATGTTGATGTTTAACATGAGTGGGTTTTCATAAAAAAGAAATGTGTGTTAATAACATATTTCTTACTACCCATGTTCTGGTGCGTTCAGCCAGGTTTTGAGGGGGCACTCATTCCCAAGAGGGAGCAGACAACAGTAATGTGATGTTCAGACAGCCTTACATTTTAAAGAAGTACAATTAAGAAGATGGTTCTAGACTTGGGCCTTCTAAGAATACTTTTAGGCTTCTAGAAACGCAGAATATTTTGAAATCTGCTCTACTGTTTAATATTACCTGCTCCATACTTTGATTTTCATATCTTGAAAAAAGCTGCAGGCCCTCTTGGTTTCATTTCTGCGCCTGCAGCTTTCACTTTTGTTCCTTAGCAGCCTAGGGCAGCCTTCCCCAACCTGGAGCCCTCCAGATGTGTTGAACTAAGGTTGCCAAAATCTCTCAGCCAATTGGGGTATTGTGGGGTCCAGAGTCTAACAAGTCTTCAGGAAACCAGATGGAGAATGGCTGACCTAGGAACTTTTAGTTGTTTGGGTTTTTC